GACTGCACTATGCGCTGTCCTGTTTAGTAGGTAACCTTGGTAAAAACTAAATTAGTAGTGAAAGGTGCACTCTTCAAATTTTGTGGGGAATGAACACCTTCGTATGAATCAAGCTCAGCTATACAGATCATGCTCTCCCCTGACTATCAGAAAGGGAAGGGTTCAGAAAGAGGCAAAAACGATGTTCAAAACTGAAGATTGCTAGTACAAGGGTAACATTCTATATTCTTTTGTGTTAGCAGATTATTGTCAGTCTGCCTAATCCTTTTAATAGAGGCAGAGGCTGGATCAGTAGAACAGATTCAACCTCAGCCTGTGGCTTTCATGCATGATGGAAGGGCTGGTTGCTTTTTATGAAAAAATTTTGCTGTGAGATCCGGTCAAGGTGGAGGCCCACCTAGCAGCATGTTGTGATCATGTGAGTTGAACTCTAGTCTGTTTCTGAAGGTTAACTGTTTCCAAGATTTTCCTTGTAGGATCCCTTTAGTCCCTGAGCAGGGAGGGATTGGATGCAGTCCACAGCATCGCTTCCTACAGCCTATGACGATCAGGTTTTTCGTCATTCATGTCTTTGTACAGTAAGAATATGAAATGGACCTGAAGGATACCTTCACCTCCCAGCAAGGAACAGCTAGTCCAACCCTGTCATAGACATCACAATAGTAGGTTTCAACCTAACTCATATTACCACGGAAAAGGCTGATCCAAAGTTCGGTGCTTTCCAGACTTGTATGGGGACTCCTGTGTGCCTGTATCTGTGCATTTAACATATCTCTTGCACCTTCCTAATTCCTTTTCTCCACATTGGCTGAATAGTGAAGGCTTGTTCAACTGTAGTGGTATGACCGGAGTGGTTCCTGAAAGCCTAATCCAAGAAAGAGTTTAAGCCCATGGGCCTGAAAACTGCAGTCTAGGACATGAGTTAGGTGCTGAAGTTTCACCTGCCACACCTGAGAGGAGGGAGTAATCCTAGGAGAACCTAGATGCAGAGCAATACACCATGCAATAGCATGGCTGAAGCATAGTTTGGGAAAGACACCCTCAAAGCTAAACAAGGAATGCCTAACCCTAACACACTTGTGTGATTCAGTGTAAAAAAATCATCTGCCATGAACAACAACGAAGGCAGGAGGAGGAAACCAAGGATGTGGAATTTCTCTGGCTTGTCTGTGAGAATGTAGGAATCTGAAATGCCTGTTGAAATGGGAATGCAGGTCTGTCTTATCTCCCTTTCCTTCCCAGCATATCCAGAAGAGAAAGGTCTCCCCATCTGCCAGGTGGTGGGTGGATGGGTATGGAACACTGCTGGACCCCTTCCTGGCTTTCCAGGGCAAAAGGGAAAGATCTGGGATATCCCACTTGCTGCAGACAAGTTTACCTGAATCTACTCTGCAAGACTGCAGAGCAAGCAAACCTTCATGATGCAACACCAGGCCTGGTGCTCATCTGTGTGGAACTAGACAGTATCCCATGAGCACTGGGGAAAGAAGAGCTAGGATTTAGTCATCATTATTTAATCTTCATCCCAGTTTACAAATTTCAAAAGGACTTCTTTTTAGATTAACAGAAAGTCAACCTAAACTGATGAGTTTGTTACTGTTGACGTTAAAAATGGGGAATGTGCTCTCTTGGAAAACGTGTGGGAGCAGTAAGCTAGCTTGACTCTGCAGTGTTAGCTCCGGACAGTAGAGTGCACTGCTCATGCAGCAGAGAGGAAGGCGTCTCTCAGGCTGCTGCTGAAGGGGGTCTTGGGATCCCAGTACCCTCCAATTCCTTTTTACAAAACTTAGTCCTTCAGTAGATACAGCTTTAAGACTATATTTGTTCAGCAATCATCACAGGCACGACTGCAGCTTTTGGGAAGCGTGCCACGTATATGCACTAATCAGCACGTGTAACCCAGCCAGCCTGTGAAGATAGAGGCTGTACGAGCTGTGCAAACCCACTGGAGACTGCACACGTGTGTGCTATTAGCCTGCATCGGCATCGGTGCAATTGTCCCCTCTTCACTGCTGTTGGAAACCTACTTGTGCGGCAGGCACACCTTCAGTTACAGTGCAGGCACATCCTGAGAGCGATTACAGGTGGTCATGGGTCTGGTTTGTCCTTGATCTCTAGAAAACAATTAAAAAAAATGTTTTCTGTGGGCACAGAAAACAAAATACCAGGTAAGTTGTCCTTTTTACTCATGTTAGAGCATCCGTCTTCTCCCATTTTGTAGAGTTAGCCTTTTCCATACAGGGGCAGGTGAGAGGGAGGTGAGGAACTAACAGGTTTCCAAGACACTCAGGTCAATGCAATGTTACAGACAAAAATCTGGAAGGATGGCAAAAAAAAATGTGCTGTTGTGTTGCATGTGGAAGAGGCCCTCAGTAGCAGATGGCTTGGCTCTTTGAAGCCAATGTTGGTACACCAGATGGTTGCTGTGGCACATTAGCAAGGAGATGTTCTGCACTTACATTACTTTGTATGTATTTTTATTTGACTTTTCAGATTTGCACTTTACATTCACATGGGAGGATTGGCAGTCACTTTATGAAATGTTACAAGAAGCAGCCGTAATCAGGGCTGGACTAATTTTAGTGATCTGCAAGTCCATATTTCAACATCTGGAAGAAACAAGCAGTGTTATTTTGCAGCCTTGGGTTATTTTCTGGCAAGTTTTCTTTTGTAGCCACTTCAAAGAGGCAACAGGTTACAACATCTACTAATCCTGTTAGCAGACCCCAGCACTTCCCAGTGTTGTCCTGAGTCCCACCGTCTGGTCTTTTCACTTCAAGCAAGGTAGTTCTGGTGGTCACTGAAAGAGGTAGCTCCTGTGTCTAGTTGCACTGTTTAGAAAGCAGCCAGCACAGATGAGCCTTCAGGTGCTGCTGGAGACACACACACAGTGGAGTGAGGAGTGAGGCTGGAGCACACAGATGAATAGCTCTGGTTCTCTAAGGGCAGACGAAGCTATAGGGTAAACCCTAACAATCTGGAGGATTTGGACCCTTCAAAAGAATTTGGAATACGGCAGTGATTTGTGCCTTAGTGTTTGTTTCTAAAATTTTGGATCCATTTTCTTTCAGACTGGGGGCAGTCCAGTTGAAAACCTGGTGAAATAATATCTGGTTCCAAAACTGCTTGCTACAACCCAACTTCAACATGCCCTGCTCTACTGCTGGCATCTTCTCCAGAGCCATGCCACCTGTGTTTGGCTTGGCAGGTAGCTCTCCTTCTTCCCTCTCTTAGGGGCTCAAGCTTAGACCAGGAGACTGCAAACTCTGCCTGTTCCCTAGTTCTTGTCCCAGAACTTACAGTTCTAAGGTCTTGAAGGACAGGCTATGCATCGCTTGTGCCACAAAGCATGGCGACCTCTCTAGGTGAGTACGCAGGGCCTGGTGTTCTTACCAAATTCAGTTTACATGCGTCAGCTTAGATCTGGATCAACAATCCAGACTGGTCCAGCAAGTACGTAGCCCTGGTGATTGGCTGAACAGTGACCTGGAAAGGCTGAGAATGATGCACAGTGTATTTGTGTAGTTTTTAAGGAATACATACATGCTGCACGTTAAGTGCTAATGTATTAAAGTATGAACTAAAGGTAATGTAACACAGTCCATGTTCGAGGCATTTCAGATGCCAAAACCAGAGGTCCTAAATCCCTTGAAAACATCAGGTCAGGAGTGCTTTGCAATGGCTCTTTTTCTGCTGAACACCTACCCTTCCTCTCCCTGCTTGAGCTGCACTGTCCTCTGCAGGGGCTGCCAGGTGGTCTGTTCGTAGGAGAGCACGCTGCCACCAAACAGTGCACATACACCTGAGAAGAAGAAAAAGTACCACTTGGTCCATATCAGATCCCACTTTGCTGAGCATCGTTTTGTCTTTTGTCCACCTTTTGCAGAAGTTACAGCTGATTAGACTTGGGCTTGTCTGAACATTTGCATGCGGCACCTTCTAGCTGAACCTGCCTTGAATTTCAAATTTGGTGTCAAAGAAGCCCTCAGGCAGTTTGGTAACTGAGAGGCTGAGACAGGAGAAGTTAAAACCTCACGAGCTGCAGAGAGGCTATGTACGAAAGCTAGACAGAAACTCAATCTAGTGCTAGATGCAGCTGCGCACTTAGGAAGCAGCACAAGCCAGAATTGCATCATGTTCATGTCTAGCAAGTTCATGAGTTGAACTGCTTATGAAAGGCCAAGTAAAAACATTATGTAGTTACTTAAGCTGCCCAGGCAGGGGTACTGCCATGGCTTGTATCAGTACATGTGCTAGAGTCTACTCAACTGGGTGCACTAGGAGCAAAGCACCCTCAGGTGACTGTCCTGGGGTTTTCTTTGCTCTTCTTAGACCTGTTAGAGGAGGACAGAACCTCGAGAGTGTAAGACCAAACCCACATGCTTCTGCTTCCCTGCGCATTGGGCTGGTGTCTGAGGAGACGGCTGACTGGCTGGGACAGATGGGAGACAGCAGAGCTGAACTTCATGTAGATACTATGGCGTGTAAGTTGACTTTTCTATTCTAGACATTTTGAGCTGAAGTGCTATGAATCTGATCCTATAAAAAGTCAGAAACACCATATAAAAATCATATTTACATACCAAACTCTTTTGTTTACTCCAGCCAGTCCAATCTCAAGTCACTGAAACTGTGTTACAGAGCAGATTTGAGAAGAGAACTAAATTAAAGCTGTGCACCAGTCAGGCTACTTGGACTGAATGCTGGCTGGGTCTTAAGTCTATGAGGTGTTTAAATTGGCTAGTTTTTAAATGGTCTTAAGTTCAGAGGATAGGGTCCGTGTCTGGGAGGTGAGCCTTTCACTTAATCTTACCTGTTCCAGTCGATGTGCCAGGGTCCTTACTGCTAGCCTTTTAAAATGAGAAGGGTGTCTCACCCTGGGGCTAACAGCTACTGGACAGAACTCAGCAACATACTCACTGCCGTTAATCTCGCACCTATTTGAGAGAACGGATCAACAGATCTAGAAGAAATCAGGGCTTTGCTGATGAGCGCATTGGTCATTCAATAACTACTTGCCCATCCACAGTGATGTTCCATCTTGGGGTGCTGTCGAAGTCTAGAGACCTGGTTACCCAGCAGTTTTCCAGGTATAACTCAGTGCTGGGGCTCTCGTCTTTCAGCTCCACCTCGAGAAACACAGGTTCCACAGGTCGCTTGAGTATTGCCATGTTGGGCTCATAGAATTCCACGAAAGATTCATCTTGAGAAAATGTCAGGGGATTTTGTTGTTGTTTAATTTTTTTTAAATTAAAACATGTTTGGAAATTTTCTGATTTTCTTAGGAGGAGGCTTACCTTTGGACACTCTTGAAACTACGTTCAGGGCTTGTCTTATCCTTCTGTATACTGCAGAAAAGGAAATGCTAGTGAGGTTCTTTAGTAGGAAGCAGGGCGTGTCTTAACAAGGGAACTTACAACTGAAAGAGTCATAGAAGTTCAAAAATGGAGGAAGAGAATTGCCTACCTGCAATATTTGATCTTGGTACCATCGTACCGGAGCCAAAGGGAGGTGATGTGGACGGATCACTAGCGAAGGCACCTAGCACTAGGGTCTCTTTTGCTCGATAGTAGCACAAGACTGTTAGTCTATAATAGGAGAAAGGGTAATTTTTGTGTTGACTTTTACTTTCCGGCAGCTGTACCAAAGTGAGAAGTGTCAGTGAGCGGTAGCTCCTACCTGTAGTCTGGATCTCTTGTGATTGTCGGTATGCTCTGTCCTGGAAGAGTCTCCTTTTCATAAGAGATTTCATTTTCATAAATAATGTGATCACCTTCAAACTGTGCATATGGGAAGCTCATTAAAAATTGAATCTTCTTATGAGCTGGGACAGGGGAGCAAAAGAGAAAATGCAGGAGAGACAGAGACTTCCAGCAGATGTATCTGCTCCAGCCATGGGCTTACCCTTACTGAAGTGCCACAGGTAGTGACATGGAACTTGAAGAAGGCATGTCCTTCATTATACTCTCTAGGCTTGCAAGAGCTATCCCTTAGTTTGGTTTTACTCATATCAATGGCAGGAACTGTCTTCATTTGGGCAGATACCATTATGGTACCATCTGGGTGGCATACTGAGAAAATCAGAGAGCTGGTTACAAACTCAAGGAAAGAATCACAGATCTTTTTATTGATTGATCAGTTGTATAACTTACTTATAAATGCTGAAGAATTAAAACTGCAGCTAACGGAGAACATCTGTAAGGTCTCCATAGTTCTCAATTTCCTTAGGGCAACGTCAAACCTTGCTTTAATTTTCTGAAAGGACACTTCCTGTGAAGGATGGGATGGAAGAGGTCTCCTGTTAAGGCACGTGATCCACATGTACAAAGTTCTGCTCTTTAGCTTGTGCTGCTTGAATACTAACAAGTCACAAGAGTTAAGTCAGTGTGAAGACTCGAGCCTGATGCAACATGGGGGCAGAAGTTTTCTTGTATGAATTAATTGGTCACTGTCACAGAGATAAATTTTGGCTGATTATTGGTGAATAGTTCAGATGTTTATTACAGCATCAATTTTCGCCTGCCATGTCTTAACTTTTCTACAAAATGTTCCTTTAAAAGAGCTCTTTCATAAAAGCTATATTGAAATATTGTTTCTGGCTCAGTGCAGATGGGACATTTTGCCTCATCTTACTAAAAATACTGAGGAGTTTGTTTTTGAAGACTCGGTGCTTATCTTTTGGAGACAACTTAGCACTGCAGATTACCTAACACATGGCATTACCAGAAGGGTCCATGTCCGATACCTCTTGTCCTACTTGCACTGGCTTAGAGTCCTTCCTTCTGGAGGTTTTCCAATATGTGGAATACTACAGCACTGCAAACTGTGACGGTAGGACTGTGGCTATATGAGCAAACAGTCCCACATGCTTTAAAGAAGGCATTGCTACACAGTTCATGTACCTCATAGATAATTCCCACAGCGAACAGAGGTATTTGCAAGATCAGGTGTGTAGAATTGGTAACTGCAAGATACCCATTGGTAAGCGCAACGTGCCGGTTCAGGAGCTTGTTATGAAGATACAGGTTCCAATACTGGTGCAAGCCAAAAGTAGGGATGGCTAGATACAGGTTTTCTTCATCACAATAACCAACTGCTTCTGGTAGTTCTGCAGGAAGAAGGTGGGACAAAGAGTTAGCAATGAAGGAAGGGTTGAGCGATGATGTTTGGCCCAGGCAGGGATTCCTATCATGACTAAATTTTGCACTGACACTGCAGCAGCGCTGTTACGTGCATACTGGCATCGTCTGCAGGGCTTTGGCTGTGTTGTGGAGGTAGCAGCTCACTATTGGTGGGATCGGGAACCTTCGTTCTTTAGCGGTGGCCTGCCAGCCTGCTTGCAGGACTACTCCCTGTTTCAGTAAGGCAAGCTGAGTCATGTATGTAAATATGTTTTTTTGGTCAGCCTTCTTTGGGTTGAACCCAGAGCTATTTCAAAGATAAAATAGGACAGTGAGGAGACTGTCAACTTCGTGGCATCCAAAATCTAAGAAGTTTGAGAAAATACCAGCCAGACCTCCTGACTGTTTCAATAACCCGCTAAGTACAGCTTTTAGTGGATGATTGTCTCCTTACAGAAATGCTGTCTTTGGAGTTCACAGCAATTCATTTGAGTCAGTGGAGTTCTGCCTTGGACGCAGAGGCAGAATTGCATTTGAGGACAAACTGAAGCTCGTAGCAATGTCTGAAAGTTTTGCCAGTAGATGTATGTTCAAGTTATGAGGCATCTTGTTCGCTGAGTTTGCAAGCCAACTTCTACACACTAGTTTTTATTGCTCTCAGTGTCTCGAGGGCAGACTGTCTTGCCAGTATGCAGAAGAGCTGCCATCAGAAAAGCAGCAAGTTGGCTATGTTACCAATAATGAGCTATTGAAGGGTGGGGTTTTCCCAAAAGCTCTCATCCTCAGTCTAATGCTGTTCTCACTGAATTCAATGAAAATCTGATCCATGCTGTTGATGGATCAGGGGGGAAAGCTTACCGATATCAGCAATCACACATTCCACCTCTGCCGAATGATAATAGAGTGTCACCTCCGGACCCACACTCATAGTGTAGTTAATGAGGAGGGTATATTTTGTTTCATTTCTATTCACATACTGAAAGAGAGAGAAGTGTAAGGCTGCAGTAGCAATGGCTTCCAGCACAGACAGGCATGTATATCCTGAGCAGCACTAAATAAGTATTCCAACACCCTCCTCTCCCCTGCAAATAGCTCAGTCTCCAAAAACATCGCTTCAGTTGGCCTAAAACTATTCAGAAACCTGGACTGGATTCAACAGCTCTTTCAGCCAAACATAAATGTGCAAAATGTAGTGCCTGTTCAGAAAATGGAGGCAGAAGTGAACACAGTAGTGTTTCCTCTGTAGCCCACTGGTGAAAGAGCTCGTAGAGGGAGATCCATGTCCAAATCCTTATTCTTCTTTACTCAGAGTGTGGGCTCAACCCAGGAGAGTAAGTGATCGGTAAAACAGAAGGTGTGATGGGATGCCATGAGAGATTCCTCTCAATATCCTCATTTACTTCACTAAAAGTGCTCCCAAAGCAAAACCTGCTGTTCAACCTGAAAGAAATACTTCTGAAAATTTTTGGCTTGCTTTGATCCTTAATGCAATTTAACTGTGGTTGACTGCAGCCTGAAAACTATTTGCGCAAGTCCTGATCCTGTGCATTCACAATGTTGTTCCTTGTAACAGAAAATAGCATCGCAGCTCTGTGTGATTTGGTTGAAACAGTGGTAGAGGACTTGCAGTTATGCATCCTCCCACTGAAATGAGAGGTTGAATTCCCTCTGTGAGTTTATACTTTTTACAAATATTTAGATTACAAATGGTCTGAAGCTTAACAAAATTACATTTAGAAGACCCTGAGCCTGCCTTTACATGCTCTCACGGTGCGTGGCCTGTGCCAGCGGTCAAATGGCTCTGCATAAACAGTAGGTTCAGGAATTACTGGGTGTTGGTAACCGGTGTTTGCAGGATTGCAATAATTGATTTATTTTTCCAAGGCACTCCTGTTTCAAGGGACAGCATTTAATAGAGATTTGACAAACCTCTTCCTGCTGGGTGTGCGCTCGGACATTAGCCATGCTGACAGACACTAAAGGAAGTCATATTTCATACCATGTAATCACACCTGATGCTGCGTGTCTCCCAGAGACCTAGGGAGAGCAAGGTGGGGACATGCAAGCCTCTAATCTTAATTCAGATGAGCTCAGACTCATTGATACCTTTATGATTGAGGAACAGTTGTTGGTTAATAAAGGCCAGACTATGCTCTGAAAAGGGACTGCCCTACCTCCTTCACTCAGCTGCTGAAGTGACCTGCTCTATCTTACCTCCTTTAGAACATATGGATCATCAAAAGAGACTTCCAGGATAAATCCTTTCGTTCTATTAGAAAAGGGAGTTTCATAAATCTTAAACCCCTGGTGCTGTGCTTCCCTCAGGGTAAATGGCACATTTCCTATTGCGATTGCCACCAGAGAGACATCGGAAAGAAAGTGTCCAAATGCAACATTAAATAGCCTTTCCTCTGGCAGAGTATCTGTAGGGAGAGAACATCAAATTACTGGTGATGTGGATCAAGTAACGAAGACGGTTGGGGTGGCCTCCCATTCAAGTTCCAGGAAACTTAGCCAACAGCCATCTCTTTAGTGGCTCTGATTAATGAGTGTTTGTGTTCTAGTCAGATCTGAAATACTCTGAGTACGTGAGAATTGCTTCAAGCTGCAGGAGATTAACAACAAATACATACAACTTAATAGAAAGTGAGTTCAGTAACTTTCTAGAGGTGCACTAAGATGTGCAATGACTTTCCTATAAAGAAATCTAGAATCTAGTTCAGTCACATAAAATATGGAAAAACTATCATAATGTATGCCAAGGGGCTCCTTTTTCTTTCTATATCAGTTATCCAGGCAGCTCCAAAGATGTTTAGTGTCTTAATGCATTGGAAAATGTCATTAAAAAACCCATTACTGCACCACCGGTTGGCACAATGATTTCAGTATGTTCCCAAGATAACAGTTGCAGGCAGTTTGGGGGTGAAAATGCCGTCAACGAACGCTGTCCTTAGACAGTTCTCCCCAGTGTGATAATTGCACAACACAACATCTTTATTCTAAAGTCCCAGTGCTCACTGGAAAAATCTGGATGTTAGTGTGAAAGAAATGTTTACGTTCTTATCAGCAACTTATAATTTTCATTTCATTCCATAATGACGGGTGATAAATGGTACATCCGTTAAGGCTAAAGGTTTGGGGTTTTTAATAATACCTTGAATCTTGACTTTGGCTAGCAAATTGGAAGTGGGAGTTGAGAACATTCTGGTGAATGTAGGTGTGTGGCAGAGGTCAAATGGAGCAATGTATAACATAGCAAAAGCAAGAGATTGGTAAAAGTCAATGAGAGGAATGACTTACTGTTGATAACTGTTGGTATTTGTGGCATGAAAGGTGTGGTGATGGATTTGATGACAGTATACTTCGTGGTTTGCCAATCTGCATCTGTCCACGTGTGCTCCAAAAACAAGTCAATACTGTAGATGACTCCATATACACCACCAGATATGGAGCTCTAGGAGGTAAAATTTGTGATTAAGTCTTAATTCTCAATAGCTCAATAGAGGAATGACTGAATATGGTTAAAATTCTTACACTAGAAAGAGAAAATGGTATTCTAGTACAGTTTGGGATGGATTTTCCTAGGGGAGCTTGTTTGTTTGCTTGGCCCATTTGTCTGGTCCATGTTTGGCTCAGATACTGCTGAGATTCTCAATAAGGAAGTATCAGGTTTGGGGGGGTGTATAGTAAGTAACCATATTTGCATTTATTTTTATATGATCCCTGGATTACCAGTCATGTCTCTCATTCTGTCCCAGTTCACTCTGAAAGTTTGTCAGTGCTTCCAACAGTTCTTCAGGCCAAGCCTGTCTGGTGTTACAATACACTGTAACTGGTGTCCACTGATACACAAAAAAGTGAACTTCTGAAAGGCATAAATCAAAATCACACCAACGTCATCTTCACAAATGGAACTGGTAAAGAGCCTTCTGAGAATATTGCCAGCTGCTTTCTAAGTGTTCAAGGTCAAGTTGGATGGAGTTTTGAGCAACCTGATCTAGTGAAGGATATTCCTGCCCGTGGCAGGGGGGTTGGACTAGATGATCTTTAAAGGTGCTTTCCAACCCAAACCATTCTATTCTGGTCTACTGAACATTTGACACTGCCTCTGTACCTGTAAATTATAGATTGACAAGGAATATACTATGTCCAAAGCAAGTGGCTGCACCCAAACTACATGCTGGGAACCTGTCCCATGCTAACTCATGCTGTCTGCATGGAAATTGTCTGGGAAATTACTCCTTGACCCAGGCCAGAAGTTTACCAGGACTAGTTTCATAATGTAACAACATAGACAATTGAACTCCAGTGCCGAGGAACCCCTTCACCCTTAATTTATTAGTATGTCTTATAGATTATTAACAAAAGACAGTCTCTTGCTTCTATCATGTTCTGTAATCATAGAGACTTAGTTTCTGAGTAAGTGCTTTCAAAACACAGAGAAGGAGCATCTAGGTCTTCAAATATTTCTTGTATGTAAGAATTTTAAGCAGCAATCAACCACTATTTGGAACGATTTGGAATGATCATGATTTAGAAACACCTTCCTTGGTGCAGACCCTCAAATGTGTTAGCGTGTGACAGGTTCGTACTAACCTTTAGCTTGCCTCCTTCTGCTCCAATAGGGATAGTTATTCTGATGTGTGTCTCGTTGTGCTCCAGTAAGTAGTTCTTCTCCTCCGGGTGTACTATGACTTGATCATCGACTCCCATTAAAATGTTTTTAGACAGAAAGGTGGATTCTTGAACGACTAATGTGGGAATAACACTTGGCACAGTCCATGTTAGTGTAGTATCAGTGAAACTGATGCCATCTGTTGAGTTAGATAGACAGTCCCAGAAGACCAGGTAATTGGAGTTACCAGTAAGTCTTCACGCTGCAATGGCTGTCTTTCCCTAACTCCTTTTCACCAGGGTACCTTTACAGCTTTCACTAATGAAACATCTTGTAGGATATTAGCAAAAACCCATGGCTATTTTGTCACCAAAACCCTGGCGCTCGAAGTGGACTTGAATCATTTTCAAGTGACTAATTAATTTATTCAGAAGAACCGACGGTCATGCTCCCAGCTACCTGCTGTTTTGTCTTTGTGGTCCCAGGAGTTTTGCCTTACTGGCAAAAGGAATGGGGCACAGAGCCACCTGTTTGGACCTTCCCCTTGAAATACCGGCTTCAAGATCATGACAACTTAAAACCTCGTGCTTCCTCATCAATTGTTCACATTAATACTGTTCTGTGAGAGACAGAAGGTGCAGCCACCACTGTTCTGCAAAAAGCCAGGCTAGTTTTGCCTCTCCAGAGAAAAGGACTAGGTGAGTCCCAAGGATGCAGAGCTGCATCCCCTGCGTGGAGTTATGTCACAGGGGAGAGCCAAGGCTGTGGGATTAGTCCAGGGGAGGCTCCCTGGCCCTTCTGCAGCAGTTTTACTTGTCTCCAGTTCCCTGCATCTAATGCGGGGGTTTGAGAAACCAGAGACAAGACATGACACTGCACTGGGAACACAAGTAATATAGCATCACAGCAGGGAACGTATTTGTCCGGGACTAAAGCCATGGACTCATGTCGCTCCGAGGGCAGCCTGTAAACCTCTTCTCTTACAGAGCAGGTCACAGGGAAATGGGGAGACCGTGTTTTCTACTAGCTCCTTAGGCGGTTATTCTTGGTGAACAAGGAAGAAATCCTTACCAACAGGACAGGATACAGTTGTGTCAATCAGCAAAAGCAGCCACCGCTGCCTGTACATGGAAGTAGAAGTGACCATGTTCATATTTACACCACTGACCTGTTGAGATGCAGGCAGAAAAAGGGAACTGACGTTCCACAGAGGCAGTGGAAACAGCACAGTTTTGTGTCCGATTGAGAGCAACGACTCACCACGCTGATGTGAGACTCGTTGCTGTGATAGGGCGCACGGAGGTACACTCGGGACAGCGTATTATTGAAGCTGTAGCCCAGTTTTGCTGCATCGCTTACTGTTATTCTTTTTCTCCCTGATGGAGAAACAAACATCAGTTGCCATAGCTGGTATGCAACATTTTGAGTCTGCAAAAGAGAGATGAGCTGTATCAGATCTAAGTCTTCCAAAGTCTCTTAAAAAACTATGATATTGTAGCACCTATTTTCCTGTTAGAAGCTGGAGTAACTGGAATGACACTGGACACTACTAGTTCAACCCAGGCAAGAAATACCCTTGATATATACAAAGATAAGGAATTTTATAGCTCTTTAAGGAATCTTTAGAGATAGCCTTTTAGCAGCCCTGGAAGAAACTTAGACTGGTGGCCTTGAACAAATCCCCTTGGACAAAATGCCTGTGCTGTTAATAAAATGATTGCCTTCATGTCTGTCGATTGCTGGAGCAGTCCAGAGGCCACATGACAGACTACCTTTTAGAGTATGTAGCTATACTGTGTCAAAGATAAGAAGAGAAGAATGTCTGTACTGGTCTAGAACAGTCTCTCCTGAAATGATAACCATATGGGAGGATAGTCAAAAGGAAAAATGGGCATAAGGAGCAAGTAAGACATGAGAAAAATGGGACAAGGTATATATTTCCCCCTAATACTTTCCAGGCTCAAATAATTTTCAGTTCAGTGACTCCTGAGCTATCTGTAGCTTCTTTGTATTTTGTATATCTTATTGGATTTCTCTTCAGTCAACTTCTCCAGACTCTCCTTGAGATCAAGCAAGCTTTTAGCAGCCACAACATCTTTCAGCAAAGAATTTGACAGATTCACTACCCATTGTGTGAAGAACCACCTACCTTTGTTTGTCTTGAACCCGGTTTCCACTAATGTAACAAGCATATGACTCTGTTCTCCCATATAAATGTCTTTTTGCAGTCTAGAGCTCTAAGAAAACCTGAGAGGTTTTTCAGTACTTGATGGCATCTTTGCTATCATCTCCCTTTTTTTGACAGAGATGGAGCTATGCCCCAAGAATGACTCATGAGACTAGTGAGAAGAGGCAGGCTAGGAACTGTTAGCAAAGACTCCCCTTCATACCTCTGGCAGTGCTGACATCCATGCTACGGTGTAGTCATTTGAAACTGCAGGGACATCAGTCTTTACTGACACCTGGGGACACAGAGGAGATTCTTTGGGAACAAACAAATCTTCAGCATTATTAGAGGCATGGGGAGCAGAGAGAGGGCTTTCAGATTTCTTCTCCAGTGTCTGTCAGGATTTAGCAATTTACATGCACTGGGGGTAATTAAAATGTTTCCAGAGAGGTTCTTGATGGCAGTAATTTCTGTGGCCTTAAAATGAAAGTTAGAGCCATGGCATTTATGGTGGTGCATGTACAGCAGAGGGAATACTTTGTGTATAACCAGTTAAATAAAAAGTCCTGTTTCATATCTGGTAAGCTGTAAACTAGATCCCACTCTGGAGACTTTCAGGGGCATCTGGGTCTCCACCAGAGATATATGGAAGCAGGCTATTGGCTTTAACAGGACTGGTTCCTCTTCCTATGCAGGCTGAACACCTGAAAATGCAGGATCCGCAATACCTAAGGTAGGTGCTATGGTGTAAATCTTGCCAGCATGTGGTGCAGAGTAAGGCAAGTTCTGTGCCTTGAGCTGGGAGTCAGTGTTTGCCTCAGACATCCGTAGCATGGTTCATGTTGCAACACCCAGACGTGACTGCACAACCTCAAGTCCTAACACGAGAAATATGCTTTCTTCATCCTGCCTATAGTAGGTGCATACAAAAGGCAGTGAAGTTTGTTTTGTTCAGTGCCTTATTTCTACATTGGTGTGTAGATGCTGGTAGCAGGTTGCACAGCCAAATCGTACCACCCAGTGGGAGGCAGGTTCTGTCTCACAATGATGTCCTGTGAGTTGTGTGATGCAGCAGGGGTGCAGCTCTGCAAACTCTAGGTTTTATTATTTCAAATATAAGGATGACATTCTCACAGATGCTGCAGCACTTTATAGCATAAAGGTATTCTCGTGAGCTAAACACGTTGGCCTGCCTGGCTGCTGATTTGCTTGCAGTGGCTTGACTTACATCATCTGTACAGTTAACTGAATTTCACTGCATTCAAAATACCTATGACATATAAATGTGTTACTAATAAGCACCTACAGTTACACCCTCTGCTGAATATCAGCAGGTCACTGTTACGCCTGGTACATAGTGTAAAATCAACTTCTGACAGGAATTTGTGGAGGTTGTTGCGCCTGGCAACAGGGAGCTTGGATGTAGCTTCGCTTTCAGTGGGAAAGCTTTTACCTCCATGTAGTTTTCTTCACATACAATTTCTCTTGAAGCCCAGGAAGAGTAGGAGCAGTACATAGGGTAGGTGTAGGTCACAGCTGCCCTCATGCTTGAAAATGAGGAGATCTTGATGTTCACAGTCAGTGAAAACAGCTCATCTGCCTGGGAAGAAAAACAGGCAATTCATCAGATAGTGTGGAAGGTCCCAAGAGCGGCTGCAGGGGACCATCCAGCCCAGTGTCCTGTTTCTGAGAGTGTTTTATAATGATGAGAACAGATTGAGAACTGTAGTGACAGTTCCTCCAAGTTACCACCCTGTCTTAAGTGATTCCTGTGCAGGGGCTTTCTGAGCCAGAGACATTGCCTCAGTACTTACAGCCTTTGCCTCAGATCACATCTCAGCACTATTCTTGCCACAGTATTAAGGAGCAGCTAGTCAGGGGGAGGTCTGACCCACCTCACCATGTGGTTCACGTTCCTCCCATGCATGACTGCTACGTGCCTCCTCATGGAGAGAGTACTGGAGCTTTTAGTTTGATGTAGGTAGTTCAGATCTATCTTACAAATGCTATTTAGTGTCTATCTTGACCAGCTTCAATAAGAGCTCCTTTTGGTCCTCCAACTTTCCAGGAGCCACACATGAAGCCATGGGCTGTGCTGCTATCTGACATGGATGTGTATTTTTTTACAGAAAAAGGCAAAACCTTTCCAGAGAAATTTCCAGTCTGGAAATCCTGGTTGTTGCACAGCACACTGTACACCCCCCATTCTTGTTAGCATAACCTCTGCCTATAAAGTTTTACCTTATTTTTTCTGTGGGGCTTCCAGGACCAACCAGACTAAACATGGACAAGCAATGAAGTTTCTACTCTGATGTGTTCTGTTTCTAGGTACTTTTCATCTCAACTAATATTTAGAAATTTGAAATCCAGGCTACACTTTTACATGTATTTTAGGAAGGGGTGAATCACCTTCTGGAGATGCCTGTTTCTCTCCATTGACTATTGTGGAAGTGTAAACAACTAGTTTAGACTAGACATTATCTTTTCGATGGCTAAAGTTACGTGAGACAAATCTGGGTCTAATAGATGTGTGTGATCTACGTTCCTAGGCATGTGTTAACAGGCACATTACCACACAAATTAAGCCAGGAAATTATCTGCCAGGATCACACTGCAAATGTTGCTTTTTCAAGCAGATGCCTACTTCTTTCCAGAGAGGGTTTCAAGAAACTCTCTGGCAAATCAGCAGCTACAAGGATATGCTTGAGAACTGGCAGCTAGTCAGCAGCATTAGGCTAAGTGGCATTTCACGGAGAGAGGAAATCCCATGTCAGTCACACTGAACAAACCTCATACTGGAGAGCCATTGCCTATTCATTTCTACACACCATCAACGCTAACTCCTTGAGTTCACTATTTCTTGAGTTCTCAAAACATGCCATTAGAATGCCATATAATATCTCAGTCTTGTTTTTTTGGAGAGGATGTACTGTCCGAGTTGTTTTCAAGCCCATCTCTGGGTCTTACCTCATTGGCCACATGACAGCCAAGCACCGACGCGCGGAAGACGGGGTTGCCCCACACGTCTTCTGACAGGACATAGCCACAGCGAGATGCTAGTTTCTCATCCAGCAGAATGGGGCCAGCATAAGGATCTACAGAAAAAGGGAATGACGTGTGGGATGGAAAGCTCAGGGCAAGTCACGGGGCAGAGTGGTGCTGAGGCCCCCTCACTCAGCTCTCCTCTGAAAAGAGGTCCAGCTGGATTGGGTGCTCTCCAGCGACGTGTGCTGTTAAGGAGCTGGCGAAGCTGTGCTGGTATGCGTTAGAGTGCATGAGACAGTCTGGCATGTCTCAAGCTCACCCACATTATGTTCATTTTAATGCCCATTTCTTTGTGTCCAGAAGCTTGTGCCACAGCCACCCTGAAGTGCTATTATGGAGTGTTTCTCTGAGGCATCATATACATTTCTCCTTCCCTGATTTTACTCTCTAGAAAAGAGTTATGGGCTATTAAGCCCATCCATTTCTAAAAACCCTCAAGTCGTGATAATCTGCTGCTCACTCTGGTCAAAGGGTGCAGTCACGGACCTATTTTGGATGGGCACTTCTACAAATTGATCAAGTTTGCTGCCCATCTCTGCTTGGCAAGGCGCTGTGTGCTGTTAAGCCTATGGGGGAGCCAAGTAACAGGCATGATGGGAGCTGGCTCCGCTCAGCTCTTGATGCTGGTAGAGTTAATAACGTCGTATTTTGCTAATTATCTGCCCTCTGATTAAGGAACTATTTTAGTCTTGGGTTAGACACAAGAATCTGTACCAATAGATAGGGTTTAACTAGCTGCCATTGTAATTTCTAGATTTGTCTGTCATCTTTGTATGTCGAACAGTATTAATAACTGCTGTTTCAGTAGATGTATTCTTGCAGCCAGGATAGACTAAGGAGATAAGTGAGAAAAATTTTGGAAGAAAAGGGAATAGCTTTTATGAGACCAACTGATAGAGCTGGAAGAAACAAACAACCTTTTTGTGCCTGAAGGCTGGTCTGTTTTTTCCAGCAATATCAGTTGCTCTCATAAATGCTATCACTTCTCCCCACACCCTTGCTGTACTTGACTTTTTCAGTTCTGCCTCCAAATCAATTGAAAAAACCCACCCCCCCAAAAAAAAAAGTGGACTGATCTCAACAGAAAGAAATCTGGTTTGGGGTGAAATCACATACTTTTGTCAATCTGATGTGAACATTTTCTGGTTTTCATTTTGGTTAAGTAGATTTTTGTTTTCCTCAGCAAAATGGAAACCCTTTGTTCAATCTGAACTAGGGTATTTAACTGCCATTGTGGTGTTAAATAAAAAGGAAATTAAAAATAAATCCTTTAATTGCTGCAGCACTCACTCAGCACTCGTTGAGAGTGTGCTTTCTGGGTATTACCCAGCCTACATTGCTGTTGTCATTTGTGCTGTCCAGACATATCCAAGCTGCAATGTCGCCTTTGTTTTCCTTGCTAGACAAGTGTAAGGGCTCAGCAGAGGAAAGAATGAAAGCCAAATGCCAGTCCTTCCTCCTCAGACCATCCTTTCTCCTTTCCCCAGCATGTTAGTTGTAAGAAGCAAAGGGGGCTGTGGCTGTAGGTACAGGCTTTACTCATCTGTAGGGATACTGGCCAAATTGAGGTGCAAGAGGCCAGGTCTAGGTGGCAAGGATGTTCTAGTTCTGCAAGTTCTTTGGCATCAGTTACCAATTATCGTGTAGATGGCAGCAGCATCCAAACCACAGACACTGTGATCACTTAGGTGATTCCCCAGCCTTCATGGTTCTCAGGGCGGCCACTTGTGACTCACCATTGATTTCCAGCTGGAAGAACTTTCCCTGGAGCAAGAGTTTATTCAGTTTCATCCAAAAAATCCTGGAATGGCAACTGCTCTCTACAAAACCTGGTGGAAGCACATATAGAGCAGATGAGCCAGTGGGACTGGAGGGCAAAGAAGAGGCACATCTTGTTACGAGCAAAATAACTGAGTTCTCATCCTTGCCTCTCCCCACTATCCTTTTATCCTTTTATCTCACCAACCTGGGGGAGCCACCTGCCTCCCTTGTCCCAGCCAGAACAGCAAGAAAAGCAGCCAGATCCTGCAGTATAAGTACATGAACAAATGATGGGGTGAACAGAGAAAAAAAAGATCAAGATGGAAAATGAACGAGGCAGCAACCGAAGTCTCATTACCTGCATAGTGAGTAACCCACAGCCTCCATCTGTCCCCAGACACCTGTGCATGGGCAGCAAAGTCCTCCTCCCTTTGAAGTAAAGCTGACCCAGCTGTGGAGAGGGAACTTGGTCAGACCCAGGAGGAAAGGTATAGCTGACCTTTTACAACAGAGATTGTGCTGTCTTCTCCAAACCTTGTGTGTGAATCAGGAGGGGCCGGCGGCTTCTGTCGTGGAGGGACGCCTGGGCTGAATCCTGCAGTGCCCTCCAACGTTATCTGAGCTCCTGGCAGTGGGAGCAGCCTCCTTCTCGCTGGGAGGGCAGAACACCCTTCTGCCAGGTATTTACAAGGTCAGATGCTGCTGCTGAGCCTAATTTTAATGAGCGCAGCAGGGGGTGCTCGGTGCTTTCCATTAACCCCTGGGAAGTAATCTCATTCCTTACAAGCCAGTTGGGTAGCTTTGGCTTCAGGTCTTAAGAGCACATGAAACATTTCCCCGGAGGTATTTTAATTGGGTCTACACAGGAAATACATTTTTGTTTCTGTGAAATGTCCCGGTGACCCAGCCATGCCAGAGATAACAGCAGTTCTTTGGCAGTTACACGTTTTGCTTTTGTGGATCCAGTTAGGTTGCCCTTTGATTTGTTTGATTATCGGAGAGTGTTTTGGTGAAAACATCTTGTTTTTAGAAGTGCTCCGATATCTCTGGATCAGTCAGACCATGTGCAGGTGTGTAAATGGCCAAACATATTGCCTGGGAAGAGAAAGTCATTGCACCTGGTGGGAGCTGTGGCTCTGGGACTGCAAGCGCCCCGGGAAGCAGGAAGTCTGAGAGGTTTGGTGAGCTAAAAATACAGCTTGTGTGGCATGGATGAGCTACGGTGGGGTGAGAAGTACAGGACATTTAGGTTGACATTTTAGCCATTGAAACCCAGGGCTCAATCTCCTTTTGAGCCCCATTTTGGGGCATTACCCAAAAGCAGAGCTGTGCTGTAGAAATGAGATTGTTTTTACAGTACACTTCACACCACTTTGGGATAAAAAGCCAGTGGGCACATCCACTCACAGGACGCAGTGCAATCAGTGTCATTTCCTCCTCTGTCATCCTCTCTCAAAGGACCTCTGCAGTAACAGCAGAACCCACGCCATCGCCCTGCCAGACACGCTCACTTTATACAGCAGGGAGCTGGTGGCATGCTTGTGTGAGTGCTCTGGAGCAGAGCCCCGGGGCTTTAGCAATCTCCTAATTAATGTCCTTTGGCCACAAGACCCTTTCTCATTCAGCGGGAGACGAAGTCCAACTTCTGCAACAAACTTCTCATGAGCCCACGCAGGACTCGCTGCACGATCCTGGCCTGCGTTAACTCTGCATCCCCGGACTCAGAGTGACTCTTCATTGAATCCAGCTGGGGCTGGAATTAGGCTGGAAATGGCGGTACTCAGATACCACAGTGATGAGTGTGGTGTAACAAGGAGATTTTGAATTTTGAGTGAAAACTTCAGTATATTTGGATAGCAAACGGTTCCAATTTTGATAAGCCACTTCCAAGAGCCATGTAGCATCTCTCTGAGATACTGAGAGTCAAGGTCTGAGGGAGCCATGTTTGAGAGAGCGTGATTACAATTTATTAATGAACAGCCAACCATCAGGACAGGTACACGACTGCAATTAGCTGCCTTCTTTGCACAAGCAGTGAGGAGATGAATTTCCAGATCTTTGGACAACTCAGAGCATCGTGATTACTGTTTCTGGCATTAATCATGGTTCTAAATGTGGCAGAAACAACTTTGGATGTGACATAGCAATTGTGGTCAGTGTGCGATAGCCAGCTCTTGGCCTCGCTGTCAACCAAGCAAAGCAAAGCAAAGCACGTCCAGGTCAAATGCTTTTGGCTTCCAAGGATCGCTTAAGTGCTGCGGAAAGCATTGTTAGCACTGGGCGGCTGGAAACATCGGCTGCTTGTGGTCCCTAAAGTCCCTGTGGTACTCATTATAAAGGTAGGGATGATAAGCTTGTGCATTCCAGGTTATTATATTTGTCTACTCGGTTTTCCTTGCTGTTTTGGCTGCATAAGAGCACCCATCTTAATGTTCATGTAGGGTAATAAACAGCTGCTGTGTTTCGACGTTGAGGTGATGGCATCCTGTGGTGGATAAGACGATTCATGGCTTGGGTTCTTTTGAGCTGAAAGGTACTGTATGAATGTAATGTTTTGGTTTCTTTTTTTTCCTGCATGGGTCTGGAACTGGGTTTTGTATTATATAACGTGATTGAAAGTTTAAAACCGGCCACTTGGAGCAGCACGCATATAGCACCTCTCCCAGTGAGGCTTGTTTTTAGTGGTGGAAAAAGGCTGCAGCCCTTTGAGTCACCGTGTTTGTCTTTCTGTTGTTCTGTGGCACTGAAATCCCCAGGTTACCTGAATGCTACAGAAAAAGTATTTTTCATTTTTCTGTCCCAAGTCTTTTAATTAAAACTTTATTTTTCCAACTGGTTAAAATGCAAGGAAGTTTTTTTTTCCCACTAGGTCCCATGTAATGATCTTAAGTAAGCCTCATAGTTTGATACTTAGTCTGAGTGTGGGATAGAGTAAAATGGCACCCATTATTGGACAAAAAAATAACTAGTGAACAATGGGAAAGGAAACGGGGTGAAGTCTGGTGTTAATGTACCAAAACCAGAACCTTTCTTATATAGAGCTGGGAGAAGCCAAGGTAAGGAATCCCTGCCCTCCTTGTCCTCTTGCAGCTGCAGGACTGACAAATCTGAAATAGGGATGGAAATATTGGTATGTAAGTATTTCTAAACCTAGAAATAACTGCCCAAGATGGTGACCTAAAATGTGACAACCAACTAGAGAGACCCACTAGGAAATCTTCAGGAAAGAGATGCTAGAGGAGATGCTTCTCCATGGGAAGAGCTATGCCCTGGAGTAAGCTGAGAACTAGATATTAAGGTTGTGGGTCCAGCGGGTGAGAAATGGGAATGATGCTAAGCTTTATCTCTGAGAAATGTTTTCTCAGGGTGTGTGTCTGTGAGACACGGAGAGATGCAAGCGACCTCCACCTGCAAGGTAGCACTCCTGTTCTGGAAAGGGCTTGATCATGTTGGCATGGACGTGTGCCTGAGCTCTTCACCCACCTGCATGCACCAGGAGCTTGTAAGTGCATTCAAAGGGCTTTTAAATCCCCAGGGAAAAATAGCGTATAAGGATAGTTCTGGTTTAACTTCATACCATATCACAAGATAATCTCACCGATGCAACAAAAATGCTCTGTCCATTTTTGTATGCACATATTGTGTTTCAGAGGGCTGAGGCCTTACTGTCGTGTGCAGATGGTGCAGAGGAAAATACACGCTGTAAGGAACAATTATAGAATAATCGGCTCAAAGAGGCAATTTCTTCCTATCCCCATGAGCTAGTAATTGGCTTATGCCCTGGACTGTGAGGGTTTACATTCCTTGTTTGTTATTCTAAAACTATTATTATTATTATTATTATTATTATTGTCTGTATAATGTGTGTTTAGAAAGTGTCCTTGTGTTTGTGCCATTTTTATCTTTAAAATACGCCACACTCAAATTCATATGAATTCCAAAAAGCAACGCTTGGCTATCATTGCATGCCACTAAATCATTAAAGTGGTGGAAAAAGCGCAACGAAGCAGACCTGTATAATGATGGGCTTTTAATTTTTTTTTTTAACGTGCTATTGGTGTTAATTTCTGTGTGCCTGTAATGTTTGTGTTCACTGTAACTGAACAATAGAACTTTGTTTTTGTTCTTTGTGTAAATTAAAAACATCTGTTCTCTTTATACGAAAAGTTGTTTTTTAAAAGAAGCTGGTCTGATCTAACTAAATACCAATGCTGTGTCCACAATGAGTTACTATTAATATTTGGGAAAGGCAACCATCCAAAGCAAGTGTAATGTCAAATCACTGGCGGGAGTGCATATTTATTGCTCGAAGTGACAGATAAAAATGCAGAGGTTACAAAAACAAAATTCTTGCGGATGACTAATGATGCGTATATATGCCCCCAATGCCCCATCACCACATTTACAATTGGCAGGGTGTTCTCCACCGCCTCCTGCTCCCCAGGATTAATCGACAAGCGACTGGTAGCTTGGCACCCTCCCTGGAGGAGCGACGCTGCTCCCACCTTCCCTCCGGCAGACCCTGCATGGAGTGACCTTCGGGGCATGCTGGAATCTGATCCATCTATTTAATTTGTCTGACTTTTCCCCTACCTCGCTCTGGTATTTGACTGCATGGGTTTATTTTCCACTGAAGGCACGTGACATTTTTTTTCTGCGCAGGTGGAGGAGGTGGAGCATCCACTGCGCGTTTCTGTAGTGCCTGTGATGGCGGCACAATGGTGGTCTTCAGAGTTGTCTGTAAAGTCCTGGTATGAAGAAGTTGGCAGCCCAAGATGGGAGTCTGTCGTCTTTCTTGTGAGGAGCAGTCCTGCATTCAGCAGCAGTCTTGCTGAAGTAGTTGGAGGTTATTTCAGAGAAAAAAATATACTATTTGTTATGAACACTGGTGGCAGAACTGGGGTCTGAGAGGTTCAGTGCTCTCCCTGCCCAGGCGGCTATGTAGCCTTGTCACTAACGTACTTGAGCACCTCAGAGGTGATGAACTTGTCCTCATAGGCAGACGTCCTGGGAAGGAAAGACATCCTAATTAACATTTCTTGATGAAGGGCCTGATTCAAGAAAGCATCTCTATTGAGTGCAGCAGTTAAGTCTTTGCTTAAATCTCATGTATTTCAGTAAGATTTAGACACAAGTAAACCGTTTCCAGACCCTGGACATGCAAAGCCCAGACCTGCTTCTCCCCTTCCTGCTGCCTCCGGCTGTCCTGTGCCAAGGGTGCCCAGCCTTTCACTGGCAAGAACCAAGAAAAAAAGCTTGGCTGTGTTAAAGAATTAGGTATTTTGTTGACGTGCTTATTGCAGTCAGTGCCACAACAGGTATTGACCTATTATCAGCGTAACTTCCCTGCTTCCTCTTAAGATGCCCCTAATATGTCCTTCCCCTCTCCTGTTCTCCTGCAGAGGAGCCCTGTGCTCCTTCCTTTCCCGTACCCTTTTTCCTGACTACCCCTAATCCCCATATTATTAATTTCCATCTCTTTCCACAGCATCTCCGCTCTCTCTCTGCTTCATACTGCAGCGTCC